ACAGTGGAACCTCTCAGTACACCCCTTAAATGAAAACACCTCTCTATTAAGGATATTTTCTTTCCCCAAGTTTTTCCCCCAAGTTCTTGTTGCCCTGAACTGCACCAATTGGTGTCCAGATTAACTGTAGCTACATGGGTGTAGTTGATTTGTTTGCCTTTATTGTTGACATGCATTATTTTTATGAAAAGGGCCTTACTGGCTCACACAATGGACACCAGATACGCACCGATTTCATTCTGACCAAAAAAGCCAACCCGGGTGACAGGTTAGCCCAACACCACATGTACGAGGTTAATAATTATCTTACTACAGATTCTCTGTGTACATTGAGGCTGTAGCTAGCGACATGTTTGGTGCGGGTGCCAAGGGCATGATAAATCCACCCGACCCCTCTCGTTACTACTCAATCACAATGGCAGAACTTGCAGTTTTTGATAGAGATGTTTATGCTCTCCTGATGGACCTGACTGTCATCTATGACAGTGCAAAGGTAAGCATAGTCTGAGAATGGAGGGAGAAAACTCACATTATTTATTGTTTCTGCTGTGAAAATATTTTTCTCCTTGTATTTTCTTTCAGCATCTTCCGGAAGGTTCTGAGAGAGCCTATCATGCTCTCCATACTGCCAACCACATTGTCAATGCTTGTGAGCCCTTCAAGAAGTCAACTTTCCCCCTGTACGTAGCTGTGGGTAGTTTCAGTGTCTGTCGAGTTAGACTAGGTTCACAATATGTTGGGCGCTGTCCTGTCACGCTGTGCCACGTTGCCGCGTCACGAGGATAGAATCCATTTTATCTTCACGGATGTGGCACAGCGTGACAGGGCAACACAACATATACTGAAACCAGCCTGAGACGTGCAAAAGATGCAGAGAGCCAACTAGTCTCTATACTGTCCAGGTGTCGAGCTATTGCCAGAGAGTTTCTGAGTGAGAGGAACGGAGAGTCACAGCACACTATTCATGCCATGGGCCACTGCCATATCGACTCGGGTAAAGAACCATTGTTCCTCTATAGTAGTAGAGATGTGTCCAACAACTCTGAGTCTCTCTCTCAGCTTGGCTCTGGCCTTATTCTGAGACCATAAGAAAGTGTGGTCGTAGCTGGTCCTCTGTACTTAGACTGATGGACGAGCATCCTTCATTCACATTTGTGTGCTCACAGGTGGGTTCTACGTTTCCCACGCATTATGATTTAATAGTTGACCTGGTGGATGGATGACTGAAGAATGGTAAAAATGCACAGGCCAGGTAGGAATGAGAGAGAACCATCCCAATGTGACGTTTCCAGATAGGTAATGAGTGCTGGCAGTAGTTCTTAGAGGGAAGGGAGAAGACTAGCTGTCGTCTGGTAGCTGTAGCTCAGTGCATGGTCCACTGGACTTCGAGTCATGGTGCCTGAGTTTGACTCTCGAACAAAGTTATTTCTTTCTCTCCTGGCCTGCATAATTTCTACCATTCCTCAGTCGTTTAATGCTACCGGTCTCTCTGCCACAGGCCCAGCAATTTGAATGGGTCAAGTCAAACTACCCAGTTCTCTATGAGCGAATCCTCCTCAAAGCTAAGTCAGGCCAGTTTATTCCAGTCGGTGGAACCTGGATAGAAATGGTATGGATGCCTGCTACATTCCAGGTATCCCTGCTCTAACATTTACTAGGATGGGAATATCCCAAGTGGTGAGTCGTTTGTGCGGCAGTTTCTGCTGGGCCAAAAGTTCTTCAAGGAAGAATTCGGCCACTACTGCAGTGAAGTAAGTTCCACGACAACCCTTTAGTATACACACAAACAGTAAAGGACATGATACACAATGTAGCGTGAGACAAAGTTGCATGCAATGTCAAATGTATTTTGGTATGATGGGTCCACACAACATATAGCTACATAGAAATATTCTTTATTACATGCAACTTTGCTGAATGGTCTATCATACCTATATATACTTTGAAGTTGCATGCAACCTTGTCTCATGTGCAGTTCTGGCTACCAGATACGTTTGGCTACTCGGCTCAACTGCCTCAGATCATGGTTGGCTCTGGCATCAACTACTTCCTCTCTCAGAAACTGAGTTGGAGCCTCACCAACAAGTTCCCTGTATGTGTGGGCAACTAACAGAATGCTATTGTCCAAGGCTCTTCAATTTGGGGACATTTTACATAATATTTGCAGACGGCCCCAGCCACAGAACTGCCAATTTTCACAGTACAATGGAATCACAGGGTGTCAATGCAAGCTCTAGGTAGGGTGCTCTAACCCACTGAGCTACCAGGGCAGCTCAGCAGGCAGGGCTATACAATGGAATCACAGGGTGTCAATGCAAGCTCTAGGTAGGGTGCTCTAACCCACTGAGCTACCAGGGCAGCTCAGCAGGCAGGGCTATACAATGGAATCACAGGGTGTCAATGCAAGCTCTAGGTAGGGTGCTCTAACCCACTGAGCTACCAGGGCAGCTCAGCAGGCAGGGCTATACAATGGAATCACAGGGTGTCAATGCAAGCTCTAGGTAGGGTGCTCTAACCTACTGAGCTACCAGGGCAGCTCAGCAGGCAGGCTATACAATGGAATCACAGGTGGTGTCATGAAGCTCTAGGTAGGGTGCTCTAACCTACTGAGCTACCAAGGCAGGCAGGGCTATACAATGGAATCACAGGGTGTCAATGCAAGCTACTCTAGGTAGGGTGCTCTAACCTACTGAGCTACCAGGGCAGCTCAGCAGGCAGGGCTATACAATGGCAATCTTCAGATACTTTGTGCTGTCCAGTGAAGGGCCGTAAGCAAAATGCTTAAATGTCACAGAAGTGAAGTATAATCTAGGTAGGATATATACACAGAAAAAAGCATGTTTGTCTCTTAATTTTATGGTGCGAATGGTAGTTTGTGGGTTAGACAACTCAGTCCTTCCACTGTGTTCTCCTCTACAGCACCACACGTTTCTATGGGAAGGCATTGACGGAACTTGGTGAGAATAGTTAGGAAAATCATCACGGCATAATGCAATGCTTTCTCTCCTGTAATTATACTGCAGTTGTCTGGCGCACTTCCCACCCGCAGATACCTATGAATCTTGTGCAGATGTGAAAGATGTAAGCTACATTATACAGAAGTTCTTACTTGCCCTCAATCTTGACATAACTCTCGTGTGCAGGTCTTGAAGACTGTGTCTCAGTTTAGAGACAAGGGAAGGAGTAGGCAGAGCATCCTCCTTTATGGACATGGAGACGGCGGAGGAGGACCAACGTAATACTAATACTAACACATCAAGTAGAAATGAATCCTTATGCAAACCTACTTCAGTGGAACCTCTGTCCAAATAACGGACAGGTTGAGACCAGTCATTTTGTCTTTTATGTGAGGTTGAAGAAAAGGGGGCTCTTGTGACCTCAGTGTGTCCTTTATTCAGAGTATCTTTTATCAGAGGCTCTGTTGTACGTAGTTTACATAAGGATTATGTATTATGAGGAGGAGTACTATTATGAGGGAATGGTTGGATGGAATAACAACGTGTGAAAGATATGGGGTGTCAAACTGGCAAAAAAGGATAAGTAAAAGTCCTGTATAATAGGGTTACTATAATGAAAGAGTAGTGTGTTGTGTATTTGCCCATAATGTTAAGTAGTAGAGGAGAGTAAAAATGGATTTTTGCCCACTTTGGTACCCCATAGAAACATCCGTCGTAATTGACAATATTGTCTGATCCACGTAACGTAACCTTTCATCGCATGCAGCAAGATTTCAAATTAGCTACACATGTGTTGGGTCTCTTTTTTAGGGAGGACATGCTGCAGAATTTGAAGAGAATGGAGGATGTAGATGGACTACCAAAGTCAGTTTCAAATCAGTCATGCATGACACAATCCAGAGTGCAGTGTGGGTGACTGTGTGTTGTACAGGGTGCTAATGTCCAGTCCCCAGCAGTTTTTCAGTAGCTTAACGAGTGAAAAGGACAGGCTGTGCAAATGGGTTGGTGAGCTCTATCTGGAGTTACATCGTGGCACATACACTACACAAGCTAAGGTAATCTATTCTACTGTATACCCCCAAAATTGGTGGTTTAGCAGATACACTTTGTATGCGTGAGCATAATATTTTTACACACAATAATGACGGTGTGATGACCACCAAATTAACCACCTGTCGAGGCAAATCTGCCAAAATGGCCACCAGTTAAAATCCAACAAGTCACTAGTGCAAATTGTCTTTGAAATCTCTACATATGAAGCTAAAACTCGAGAACCGGAGAGGAGAGTTTCTGTTTCATGATGTGGACTTCATGTGTGCAATTGATTACGTCTGTGAGTAGTACGCTTTTCATCTCTCACTCTGCTTGTCAATGTGTCCCCCCTCGTTCCACAGTAAACCGAGGTGTTGAGTCTGCCAAGTCCACTCGAGACCGTCTCCGTCCTCTGTGGAAGAAGTTTCTGCTCAACCAATTCCACGACGTTCTTCCTGGTAGCTGTATTGAGCAGGTCCATGTAACGTTTATGCCTTTTTGGTAGTAGTATCATGTTTTATTATATATAGGTTGTGAAAGATTCACTTGCCTACTATAAAGGTACGTAGCTATACATTTTATCTTTCCTGATCGTCTTGGCTCTTTACACAGAGATAAAAGATGGAGCGAATTCTGTATTAAGGTCTAAGCTCGATGCCGTAATTAACAAGGTGAACACACATTGAACGCATATTTTGTTGAGATTGCATATATACGAAGGCAGTATTGCTTCCGAACAGGTATGGAAGAATCGAGATCACGATCAGATGGGAGAAACTTGTCTAGTAGTCAACTCATTTGGTTGGGAGAAGCGAGAAATTGTTAGCCTTCCACAGCAGCTTGCCCAGGAACCTGAGGCCAAGAAAGCCAAGTTAAACGGCGCACAGATTCTGCAGGTCCAAACCCAGATAGGTCGATAGAATGTGCAACTGTTCCTCTGTGGTGTTACAATAAGGTTCATCCTACAGCCTTGGTTGATTGTGTTCCTTTTGGGTTTCAAGCCCTGGAGATCTGCCAGCCACAGGCTCCAGTCACACTCGCTGAGGTTAATCTGTTAGGTGAAGTATAATTATAGTATTGCATGGCCTCTATTGGGTGCAGGGGCCAGATGGGGATATAATCATACTGGAAAATGTGCACCTGAGAGCCACACTGAAGACTGGAGTCCTAACTTCACTTGTACTCAAACACAGCGGAACTGAGAGGTATAGCCATCCATACGTGGCCCGCTCCTGTAAGCTAATTCCTGTGCCCCACACAGAGTACGTAATTTGGGGTCTGCGTATTGTGTTGTATAGTAGATTTGAGCCCTACAGCTATGCTGTAGCTCAAGTGTTGTATAGTAGATTTGAGCCCTGCAGCTAAGCTGTAGCTCAGGTGTTGTATAGTAGATTTGAGCCTCTACCAGCCGAGTTTCCCTGGTAGCTCAGGTGGTAGAGCACTCTGTCTAGATTGCAGGGTGTGTAGTTTCGAGTCCCACCCAGGGCTTCCTGGAATAACTGTTGTCCCGGTTGTTGATGATTTGTTTGCCTTGCACTGTAACTTATGAGTAATTCTGGATTTCCCAGGGAATCAATTGCACCAAAGTCTAGTGGGAGTAAGTTTGTGATGTTTGACGATGTGCCTCTGTTCTGGGACGCATGGGATGTGATGGAGTACCATCTGGAGACCCGGTCTCTCTCAGTGTTATAACAACTAGTGCAGTAATGACTAATGGTTTCTGCTGTTGATGTCCAGAGAGCCACTGTCAGTGCCCGGTGGAGGTGTGAGTGTTCTAGAACGTGGTCCTCTCAGAGCCTCTGTCCAGGTATATATATAGTACATACATGTCGTATAGGCTTGCAAATGCCAAGCTACTATGCTACCGGTACCTCATTTACAACTCAGAATTAAAAGAATGAGCAAGCAGGATAATTTTTGCAAATCATGCCAGCCGTACTGTTTTACTATTGAAGAGAATTACTGAGTTTCAGATGCTGGATTGTGCACTATAGCAGCTGTACTGTTGACAGTCATTGAGGAGCCAACACTCTCCAATTCACAGGTGAAGGTTCCCATCAGTTCACACAGTCACATCTTGCAGCAGATCATTCTGGATGCCGACTGTCCGTACCTACGATTTGAGACCACTGTGAGTCTGTCCATACCTACTGTTTGAGACCAACGTGAGTCTGTTGTCTGTACCTACCATTTGAGACCACCATGAGTCTGTCCATACCTACCATTTGAGACAACTGTGAGTCTGTCCATACCTACCATTTGAGACCACTGTGAGTCTGTCCATACCTACCATTTGAGACCACCGTGAGTCTGTCAGTACCTACCATTTGAGACAACTGTGAGTCTGTCCATACCTACGATTTGAGACCACTGTGAGTCTGTCCATACCTACCATTTGAGACAACTGTGAGTCTGTCCATACCTACCATTTGAGACAACTGTGAGTCTGTCTGTTGAGACCACTGTGAGTCTGTCCGTACCTACCATTTGAGACAACTGTGAGTCTGTCTGTTGAGACCACTGTGAGTCTGTGCGTACGTACGATTTGAGACCACTGTGAGTCTGTCCATACCTACCATTTGAGACCACTGCTGAGTCTGTCCATACCTACCATTTGAGACCACTGTGAGTCTGTCCATACCTACCATTTGAGACCACTGTGAGTCTGTCCGTACCTACCATTTGAGACCACTGTGAGTCTGTCCGTACCTACCATTTGAGACCACTGTGAGTCTGTCCGTACCTACCATTTGAGACCACTGTGAGTCTGTCCATACCTACCATTTGAGACCACTGTGAGTCTGTCCGTACCTACCATTGAGACCACTGTGAGTCTGTCCGTACCTACCATTTGAGACCACTGTGAGTCTGTCCGTACCTACCATTTGAGACCACTGTGAGTCTGTCCATACCTACCATTTGAGACCACTGTGAGTCTGTCCGTACCTACCATTTGAGACCACTGTGAGTCTGTCCATACCTACCATTTGAGACCACTGTGAGTCTGTCCATACCTACCATTTGAGACCACTGTGAGTCTGTCCATACCTACCATTTGAGACCACTGTGAGTCTGTCCATACCTACCATTTGAGACCACTGTGAGTCTGTCCATACCTACCATTTGAGACCACTGTGAGTCTGTCCGTACCTACCATTTGAGACCACCGTGAGTCTGTTGTCTGTACCTACGATTTGAGACCACTGTCTCTGTCCCTATGAGATCACTGTCAGTCTATAGCTACTCAACTGCTGAACTGTATGTACATATATACACAAGGAAACAGGGTGTGTGGGGAGAGGTCGTACACTTAAACTCACCGCCCCAGTTCTCAAGGCCTAGCTCGCATCCATGTGTGCATATATACAGTGTTATGTCATGGTCATGCTTGTACGATTATGGTAGGTGAACCCTTTTAGCCAATTTTTTCTTCACTTTCTTGCATCACTACACATCTTGTTCCATGTAATCAACTACAAGGTAGAAGGGCAAAGGCACAACAAACAAGTCAACTGCATGCATGACTGGTGCTCTCTGTGGCATCTCAGGTTGAGTGGCATGAGAACCGCAAGTTCTTGAAGATAGAGTTTCCTCTGAACGTTCGCAGCCACGAGGCCACCTATGAAATTCAGTTTGGACACCTGCAAAGGCCCACTCACTTCAACACCTCGTGGGATCAGGCTCGCTTTGAAGTCAGCTGATCCACTAGACAGTGCCTGTTATACTGTGTTTCCTTCCGTTCGTTGCAGGTTTGCGCCCAGAAATGGGCTGACTTGTCAGAGCATGGGTTTGGAGTGGCCGTACTGAATGACTGCAAGTACGGCCACTCTACACTGGGCAACATCATGAGGCTCTCCTTGTGAGGGATATCAAAGAGTGCTCTAGCATTTAATTTTTCAAACAGTGAACTCTAACACTGCAGGTTGCGAGCCCCCAAAGCTCCAGATGCTACAGCCGATATGGGCACCCATCATTTCACCTATGCCATTATGCCACACCATGGTATTATTTTACTGACTAAACGTGATGGTATTGTATACTCGTACAATGTGCACAGGGGCATTTCAAGAAGCTGGAGTTATACATGAGAGCTACAATCTGAACCACCCTCTTTCGGTTACCAGCTCCACACTTTTTGGTAAGTAGCACTAAAATCAGTGCTCAAGTTAACACGGGTATAATATACCAAGGTCGAGGGAAATAGGCGAGATATATAAAAGTGTAAAGACCGAGACACTATATACGCATGCGTACTCTATAATAAAGTAGCATAGAGAGCCCACATGGGACCAGTCTAGCACTAGCCAAGTCTAATGGCAGTTGTGCTGATACTCGTACTGTACGAAAGAGAAAAAGACCCTAGCTGGTAGAAGCCAGGGGTGACGCAAGCGCTATATACTGGCGAGGTACCGGGGTTACATAAGCAAAGAAGGAGCGAGATAGGGGGAAATATGAAATTTTCGAGCAAGATAGGGGGAAAAACGAAAGTTTGGAGAGAGATGGGGAAAATATGAAAGGTCTGAGCGAGATAAGGGGGAAAGGTGAAAGTTTGCAGCGAGATAGACAAAAGATGAGATTTTCAAGCGAGATGGGGTGGGGGGATGTATATACATAAGGTCAGAGCGAGATCTCTTTATGTACTCAATGTAAACTTAGGTGATCCAGTGTCATTTTTCACCACTGACAATCCAGCAATAATCCTGGAGACAGTGAAAACAGTGAGTGGATTGTGATCTCATAGCTCCCATATATTTTGCACTTACCCCAACAGGTGGAGTTAGTAAGCTCTACTAAGGCTATTGTAGTAAGGCTGTATGAGGCCTTTGGGAGTCAGACAAGTACCACTCTCACTAGCACACTGCCCTTCAAAGCTTCTCAGAGGTATATATGTATGAACCGTAGTATATAGCTGCCAGCAGTCATGGGAACAAGCTTCCTTCCATGCCACGTGTACTTAGTTGGCTGGGGATGGAGATTGAGATAACAAGTATGTGACTTTCCTAAATCAGTCCCTGTCAGTGTACGCATGTAAGCGCTGGCCCGAAGAGCTTGAGCATATAACGTTTTGGCCAGAAAGAGAATTTGACACTCCACACAAAAAAACTGTGTCCTGGAAGCTACTCCAGAGAAGTTGGCAGTTATAATTGCTGTGTAGTGCAGTAGGAGACTATAAACTATTCCCATAATTATACAGGTGCAATTTGCTGGAGGACGGCACAGGAGCATTGGAGGCCTGGTCTGGGGAACTCAGCATCGACTTTGAACCCTTTAAAATTGTGAATATTCTTCTCTACTTTTAATCAGTTTGGAGAGATTAAATTGGGATTTTGACAAAGGTTACAATTGAAAAATAGTCAGCGTAAGAGACCGCAAAAGATGGAGGGAACAGCAGAATACTCGATAGAATATTGCCTCAATGAATAGAACTTTCTCTTCTTCACCACGCAATGTATAACATTTTGCCACCTTTGACCTTGACCAGTTTGTTTAGCGTGAAACATGAAATCAACCCTATGGACGAGCATGGCAAGTACAGCAAAAACACAGCACATGTACGGAATAGAGCGACCACCTACGTCAGTCTACTCCACTGGGTTCTAGGTCTACCATGTCTTCCAAGTTCAGATTCTCTAGCTCTTCAGCTGCAAACAAGTCTTCGTCAATTGGCACTTCCTCCTCCTCCTCCTCCTCCTCTTCCTCCTCTACTTCCTCCCTTCTTCCCGCCACATCACTTCCTGTCATGTGATTGGTCTCTTCACTGACTCCGCCCACTGCTCCTCCACTTTCTCTCGTTGCTGTAAAATAGAGCCCAATAGACACCTAGTCTCAATGCGGAAATTTTCATTCACATAATAATATGTGACGGGCACTGGCAGTGCACATAATGTTCTTAAAATACGCGCGTGGAAAATTAAACTACTTGTGTTCAGTCGCATTTGTTTAGTATATACTATGTGAGCCAGTGATCAAGTCTACTTTAACAATAATGTGAAAGCTCTACTGAGAATCAATCGTGGCAGTGTGCATGCCAACAAGGTGTCATTTCTCGTTTAAAACACAGAGTGTACACAGAGTGTAATTTTGCGAGATGTGGGCACAGTGTTTAGCAGTTAAGTCTGGGAGGCATGGAGTGTGCCCCACACTCAGGCACATGTACGTACGAACATAATGAGAATAAATGCAGGACAGAATGTGGATACCACTACGTGTGCACACATCTATGTGTGCCAAGTGCAACATTGTGATGAACATAAAATCAAGGGAAGAATTTTTTGCATATCACTTGCTGAACAGAAAATTGTTTGTTGTTGGCCATTACTTCATATAAATCTGACCCCGGGCCCTGTTCCCTTATAGCGTACTGAGTATTGAACTACAAATAACCCTTTTTCTTTCGCCGACCTTTATTTGGTAAACTGAGCAAAGAACCTCATTGTTGCACACATCAAAGTAGAGTACAGGAGTTCAAATTATGTTAAGACAGCTCACTCATAGACCAATGAAAAGCACTGAAGTGCAAACCCTCGGCGCACTGAGTGACGCGCACGCGTAAGTAAATGCATGCGCCGTACTACTAATTGCTGGGCTGGGTTTAGTTTTAGCTGTTACCCGTGGTCTCTTGCCAGCTCGCGCAGAGTCTGACGCGGGCTAACTACACTACTAGATAGCATGCGAGAGGCGATACACGCCCTTCGTTGCATCTTCTGGTGCCTCCGAGGTACGCAGAGCACGCGGATCGATCATGCCGTAGTAAGCCGTTGTGTATTTGCATATTGGCTTTTTCGCGCTCTAGCTTTGCAACGGAGCGTTTTCAGCGAAAACCACACATATTTTCTGACCTTCATTGCCCGTTCAGTAGGTGGTATCCTTTGTGAGACGAACAAACACCCGAGAAGTGAGATTGAGAGTAACGGACAGACAGACAGACAGACCCAAGTACTGTAACCCTCGCTGCGCATGCGCGCCGAGGGTTAACTACTACAATGCAATATACATAATTAATATACACACTGCCCATACAGGGTTTTTTCAGGTGCTGCATAAATGGCTTGGGTAATTGTTTCCTGTCTAAAGAAGTGTCAAAACGCCTGAATGCGATTATTTCCACAGTCACTAACGTAGATGCATCCGTGGCTTGAAATGGTTACTCCACATGGGTACTTAAACTGTCCTGGCCCACTCCCACGATCACCACCTATTCCCAGAAACTCTCCCTCTCCAGAAAATATCGAGATACGATGGTTGCCAAGGTCGCCTATGTAGACTATGTTGTTGGAGTCTATTGCCACTCCCCTGGGCTTACAAAGTTCCCCCGCACCGCTTCCCTTCTTCCCAAACTGTCGCATATACTCTCCGTTTTCCGTGAACACTTGGCACCCTGTGGTTGTCAGAATCAGTGACGTACAAGTTCCCAGCAGCATCGAAACCGACTCCAAGTGGGTTATTGAACTGTCCATTGCCTACGCCCTCCGAACCAAAAGTGCTGCAAAACGTCAGGTCTGCATTGCGGACATGGACTCTGTTATTATCGGAATCGGCAACATACAGCTTCTTAGAGCCAGGATGAACGGTAATACCAACCGGGTAGTTGAACTGTAGCCGTCCATTGCCTTTAGTGCCCACACACTTCACTGACTTTCCCTCGGGGGAGAAAACCTGGATACGATGATTGAATTGGTCAGCCACGAGAATATCTCCTGTGGCAGAGAAAGCCACGCCACACGGATGATTCAGCTGTCCATGACCAGACCCAAAGGTGGCAAACGATTTCTTCTGTCGCCCATCGCTGCTAAACACCGACAGGCAGTGCTTGCCAAATTCCGATACAACTAACTGGCCGTCCTTGTCTAGAGCTGATCCCCACGGTTGAGTGACACCGGCGATGATAGTGGGTGTATCGGTGATGACAGAGACAGGGAACGGACTTCCCGAGATGTGCTCGCCCTCTACTCTGATGTGGAGGCAGTTTAGTCCTTCATGCCAGGGGAGGTATCCTATCACGTACCGGCTACCCCCCATCCTCTTGCTCTCCCCTTCCCCGGTGGACCCATCACTCGACACGACTGCCAAACTCACTTCCACTGGATGCCGGTATTCTCGCCCCTTCTGGTCCACCGTTTTTAATGTGGCTACGGCTAATTTTCCCATCACTGCAAACCGAAGCCCCACACCTTCAGCAATACATTTGGGAGGGCAAATGGTGGGGTTATAAACCTCCCCAAACTGTTTGCAAATCTGACCCAGCTCACGTTGACTGCTGGCAAAGTCTAGGTCGGCTTTTTCTTGGGGTACTAGAGACTCCGGCGTGAGAGAAGACATTACATCTCGAACTTGCTGCACAAACGGCTTTGCCATGGCCAATACCTCTATCTGGCTGCCAGTTCTCAGGGTCTCCCGGAAGAACCCGCAGCAGCTTTGCAAACGAGTGGCAACTAGCTCCAACTGCTCTTGCTGGGCCGCTACATTCTTCAACTTCTCCCGAGTCATCTGGTCCAGCTGTGTAATAAGGACCTCTTCCCTCGCCTCAAGAGCTTGGTGACTGAGGCGAATTTCTGCCCTGATTTGGGTCTCCAAGGCCTGCTGTTGGCCGGTGATTTTCCCAGACAGAGACTTGAGGTCCTCCAGAGCCTTCCCGACTGAGGCTAGCTGCTGCTCTGCTGGCTCAACTGAGGACACCAGCACTTCCTTCTGTTGTTGGAACACGTCGCTCACCAGATCGTACTGGTGGTCGCGATGGAGCCTGACGATGCAGTCTCGACAGATGACCTCCTTACAAGTCTCACAGTAGAGGTCTAGCTCTTTGGTCGGGTGTTTGGAGCAGTTCAGAGTCTTCTGGAGCGGAGGCACCAGATTAGTCACGTCTTCTGTCAGCTGGTCCAGGCTGACTAGCTCGTGGGAGGAAAACTCTTTCCATTCGCAATGGGGCTTCTTGCAGGTGTCACAGAGGAACCCACAGGACCGACAGAAGCAAGTCGGGTCTCGCTTTTCGCACTTGACGCATTTGGTGCCAGATGGGGTACCGACTTTCTTGAGGATGTCTTGGATGTCAAAGAGGTGGTGGATGAGGAAGGCTCCCCGTAGGCCAGAGACTCCTTCCCGGGGCAGAGCGGTGACGTGGCGACAGTTGGGGCACTCCACCACCTGTCCTCCCTGTGGGGTCTGACGTGCCACAGGCTCCAGACACTTCTCACAGAAGACATGGAAGCATTGGAGCAGTTTTGGGTCTTTGTACTGGTCCAGACATATTGGACAAGTCAACTGGTCGTTCAGTTTATCAAGAGCTTTCTCTGCTGAAGCAGAATTCTCTGCCATAGGCAACTAAGAGCACAAGGGTGAGCTTAGTTAGAGCAGGAAGTACTATGGGAGTAGATTTGTCTAAACATTGCCATTTTAGGCTCTATACCTGCTGACCACTAAGAATACGGTCATAAGATCCACCAATGAGGGAGCAGCACTCTAACAATTTGTGGCAAATACATTTCCCACTCAGTTGCTCCCCCTTGGAATAGAGTGGACACACAAATTCAGACAAGAACAAACCTCTATCTCTTTCCCTGGCTCTGGATCCAGGACCACTATTCAATGACAGATGTCATAATCTCCATTATCCAATGACAGATGTCATAATCTCTTGACAAATGATTATCAGGCAGCTTGCCTTGAATTAACCCTTGGCTAGGCTGCTACTACCAAGTCTGAGCATACACCTTTTGCGTAGAGGGTTTCCAATTGTAGCACCTTCCATGTACCAGAAAGCTCCAAAGCCGTAAGGTAAACATTTCTCTTCTTCATGGAGAAATTGTCACGGATTCAGACCTATCCACTAAAGTTATGCATCCTGGGAATCACGTGCACAGACACTGCAGCAAACTCATTAACCCTTGTGCTCATTAACCCTCGGCGCGCATGCGCAGCGAGGGTTACGGTAGTCGTTCTTGTGTCTGTCTGTGTGTCTGCCTACGACTATTCTCGCACTACAGGCAACGAGGCGGCTTATGAGCGATTCCTACAGCTTTAGCGGTACATGGGCTAGACAACTAAAATGGCGATTTTGCTGAAACGACTGCGTTCAAGAGCGACAAACTGGCACGGTCGCGGACAGCGTTGCGTGGCCCAACCCATCAATAAGCGGTGCGCATGCGTGTATTAGACTCTCCAACACACAAATTTACCACACTGTGTGATGACACAGAAATGATCAGGTTTACTTGTGCTTGCTCAGCTCAAATTGTATGTACTCCACATAATATTTATTATTATATATACCTGAGGCGGCCTCAGCCTGTCTGCTAGAGCCAGCAACACTGGATTGAACAGGAGGTGGTGGCGGAGCGACGACCTCATCCAAATACCCCACCATTTCAGTGATATCTCTCCCCTCCTCCTCCTCCTCCTCACCCACCTCCCTCCCACCTCCCTCCCCAGCCTCCCCATCCTCCTCCCTGAGAGAGTAGAGCACGGTGTCCTCCCCGGCCTCCTGGTCGTCTCCCTGTACCAGGTCTGGGTTGAATTCAAACATCTCACGTCCACTGATCTGAGGGAGGAAGGGAGTGAGTGAGTGAGTGAGTGAAGGAGTGAGGGAGGAAGGGAGTGAGTGAGTGAGTGAGTGAAGGAGTGAGGGAGGGAGGGAGGGAGTGAGTGAGTGAAGGAGTGAGGGAGGGAGGGAGTGAGTGAGTGAGCGAAGGAGTGAGGGAGGGAGGGAGTGAGTGAGTGAGTGAAGGAGTGAGGGAGGGAGGGAGTGAGCGAGTGAGCGAAGGAGTGAGGGAGGGAGGGAGTGAGGGGAATATGAGGGATGCATGCCACAAAACAGGAAGTGATGTCAGCGTTTTCATTGCCTCAGTCTGGAGTGTGTGAGGGAGGGAAGGAGTTAAGGAAAACCTTGTAGAAGAGAGAGAGAGAGAGAAATGGGAGAAGATCCAGCTTATGGCTAAAGGCAAAGCAACACTTTATTCTATAGCTTAACTGTACAACATTACATAACACTGCAGACCATGATTGTATAGGTGCACCGCACAAAAACTATAAAACTCAGTGGATACCTTTTCTAGAAACACCAAACCATGTATGCAGAAAAAACCTTTACTGGTACTGAAGGTTCATGCTTTGGAATAGCACCCTGTTTTTTTCACAACACAGACTCATTCACAGAATTCTATCATACCCCGTGAGTCCGGCCAGCAACGAATGCTTCCTTCTTCTTTGTGGCGGAAGCGTCCAGCTTGTCCTTCTTCTCCTTTAGCTGTAGAGAGGGAAGTGTGAGTTCAGAAGGTTTACACACAGTCAGATGGAGTGAAGCCTCACCTTTCTCTCCTTCCAGGCCTTGAAACTGTCTAACGTCACTGGAGTCAGGTTCTTCCCCGACATGGCTAGCTGCTGCCTCTGTGGGTATTGTTAATGTTCTACACGCAGTACTGTTAGTCTTATTATTAAGAAAACATGATTGATTTGCATGGATTTGCCAAGAATAACACACACACAGCCGAACTCGTAATTAACCCTCGGCGCGCATGCGCAGCGAGGGTTACGGTACTTGGGTCTGTGTGTGTGTGTGTCTGTCTGTTACAGCGTGACAGGACAGCGCCCAACATATTGTGAACCTAGTCTAACTCGACAGACACTGAAACTACCCAAAGCTACGTACAGGGGGAAAGTTGACTTCTTGAAGGGCTCACAAGCATTGACAATGTGGTTGGCAGTATGGAGAGCATGATAGGCTCTCTCAGAACCTTCCGGAAGATGCTGAAAGAAAATACAGGGAGAAAAATATTTTCACAGCAGAAACAATAAATAATGTGAGTTTTCTCCCTCCATTCTCAGACTATGCTTACCTTTGCACTGTCATAGATGACAGTCAGGTCCATCAGGAGAGCATAAACATCTCTATCAAAAAACTGCAAGTTCTGCCATTGTGATTGAGTAGTAACGAGAGGGGTCGGGTGGATTTATCATGCCCTTGGCACCCGCACCAAACATGTCGCTAGCTACAGCCTCAATGTACACAGATAATCTGTAGTAAGATAATTATTAACCTCGTACATGTGGTGTTGGGCTAACCTGTCACCCGGGTTGGCTTTTTTGGTCAGAATGAAATCGGTTCGTATCTGGTGTCCATTGTGTGAGCCAGTAAGGCCCTTTTCATAAAAATGATGCATGTCAACAATAAAGGCAAACAAATCAACTACACCCATGTAGCTACAGTTAATCTGGACACCAATTGGTGCAGTTCAGGGCAACAAGAACTTGAGAGGTTCCACTGTATTTTATTATTATTATTATTATTATTATGCTTTACAACACAGGCGGTGGAAAACGAGAATTGAAGAACAAAAAAGGTGAAGTACATGCATAGACTGTGCTGATGGACTGAAGGCATAAGCCAGCAGCCAGATAAAACAACACACAACAAGCGCAAAACATTACAAACTAACATTAAAATGCATTTTGACTGGTAATTGAGAACACTTGGGGCATGGACACAGATAGTGATATGAACACATATTGTTTGAATCGAAGTTGGACATGAAATGATCCCAGAAATATGCTCGTAACTTGGATTTTATTGCAGAAGGAGAAAGAGTTATATCGAAGAAAGGTAAGGAGTTCCATAGACGAGGAATCCGATTGAAATAAAAGTTCCTTTCATAGTTACTTCTACCGAGGGGGTGTTTCAGCTTGTAACTATGGCCAGCTCTAGTAGAATGACTACAGAACTGGACAAACTCGTGTATATTGAAATGGCCGGATGGAAACTTTACAGACTTGACCAGAAACATAATGTCAACAATTTCAAACTCCATCATCAGGGGCAACAGATTAAGGTATATTAGTCGATTCCTGTAGTCCAAGAGAGGGTTGCTGACGATGAATTTGGTTGCCCTTCTCTGGACATACTCGAGATATTTTATATCCACTAAAAGGTATGGGTGCCATACAGAAGAACAGTAAAGAAGCTGGGAACGAACAAGAGAAATGTACAAAGAGCGTTTTGCTGGTACCGACACAGAGCTGGAGAAAACTCTCCGTAGAAGACCTAACATTTTGTAGGCCCTAGAAGAGATGAACTGATAATGGGATCGCCAGGTGAGATCAGCTGACACATATAGACCGAGATCCTTTTGTGCAGCTAAAGAGGAGATTTGTTTACCATTCAAACGATAGTTGAACGACGAAGGAGATGACCTAGGCTTGAAACGAATAGCAGAACACTTTTCTTCATTTAGAAGCAGGTTCCAAGTTGAGCACCAGTCAGAGAGTCTAGAAAGATCAGTTTGCAGATTCAAACAGTCTTGCAGGGAGTAAATTGGCATGATGCACTTAGCATCGTCAGCAAAAAGTAAAACCTTGGAAAAGGATAACGTAGAGGGCAAATCGTTAACAAAGATGAGAAAGAGAACTGGACCGAGGATACTTCCTTGTGGCACACCAGAGATAACAGGTAACGTGGGAGAAGTTGATTGGCCAATAGAAACATACTGGACTCTGTTAGACAGGTAAGCTCTCACCCATAGCCAGAGATCACCAGTGATTCCAAACTTCCAGAGCTTGCAAAGAAGTTCATTATGAGCCACAGAATCAAATGCCTTCTTGAAGTCTAGGTAAATAACATCTGTATGTGAAGCAGAGCTTAAAAGAGTGTTAAAGAAAACAAGCATCTGTTGCAGGGTGGAACGGCCGCGTAAAAAACCAAACTGGGAGACAGACATAGAGTCACTTACAAAACCCACAATACTGTTAAATACGAGCTTTTCTAGAACCTTTGAAACAACCGATAGTAATGAGATTGGTCTGTAGTTTCTTATGGAACTCTTATCACCGGATTTGAATATAGGTTTTATTGAATGCGTGCGCCAGTCAAGAGGGAGATACTTCTGGGATAAACTCAGAGAAAAGAGATGGTGAAGAGGTTGGTAGAGAGCAAGAGCACAGTGTTTCAACAGCTTGGGACTAATGCCATCACACCCCTTTGCCTTAGTTACATCAAGGGATCTCAGAACACGAAAAACATCTAATTCGCTAATGGAGATATCACTGAGGGAAGATGAAGGCATTTCCAACTCACTGGATGGCGGTAACTGGAACACACTCCTGGTAAATACCGAATGAAAGTACTTGTTGAACAGCAATGCCTTATCAGAATCTGAGACAGCAAATGTATCGTCAAGATGGAGAGTAGGTGGCAAAACATTTTGGTTCGAAATAGAACGAATATAAGAGTAAATTGCTGAAGAATTGGAGATGTGGTGAGACTCAATCAATGCAGATTCGTAATCAGATTTAGCTTGTACAAGTTTGGATTGGAGAAGAATTTCCATATGGTGTATTTTATTCTCCCTTTGCAAGGTGGGCTGAGCTCTGAACCGTCTTTTCAACGTACGCAGGCATTTTAGGTGATGTCGTACATTGGAATTAAACCACTTTGGTCCCTGGCGTCGTTTAACTTGTATCCGAGGAATGTATAACGACATCGCCTTACAAATCAGTGACTTTATAAAAAACCAAATATACTCAATATTGGAACAATCAAACACAGCACTGAAATCTGAATCTAGTAAAAAAGAAGAAATGCTCTCGTAATCAGCGTTACAAAAATCATACACATAACCTGGTTTGCACTTAGGTACAGAAGATACATTACAACAAAACACAAAACTAATAGCATGGTGATCAGAGAAGTCTACGACAGACATAGGATACACTGTTAAACGATTTACAACAACACTTGCGGATGTGAGAACCAGATCAAGAAGATTACCTTTAACATGAGTGGGCTCTGAAACATGTTGGGTAAGATTACAATCAAAAACAAAGTTACAAAAACTATTAGATGAATCTGAAGTGCCCATAAGAACTGACCAATCGATATCAGGGAAATTAAAATCACCTATAATAACACATTTGGAAAAAGATGAAGTGAGATCAGTGAGAAATTGAACAACAGAAGAGACATAAGAAAAGGAACATTCTGGAGGTATATAAACACAACAAATAACACAGTCATTACCATGACCTAGTTTGACAGAGACAATTTCCAAATCATGTGGGGAGGGAATAAAAGAACTAAAAAGAGATTCTCTAACAGCAATCAACACACCGCCACCACGAGAAAGTCTATCTTTCCGGTACAAAACATAACCAACAGGAAGAATCTCACCATCACAAATAAAATCAGAAAGCCATGTTTCAGTTAGGCAAACGATACAAAAATTAAATGTGTACACAAAAGATTGGAACTTGGATAACTTATTAACTAAGCTACGAATATTAAGCAAACAAACAGAGGGGTTATCAACTAGTCATGACTGAGAGGAGGGGTTTGTAGCAGGGGTGAAAGGAGGTGATGTTGATGTAGCCGTGGTAGCCCTGGTGTCGACACTACTGGATAATGTGTCTAGTTGACAAGTGTATATTGAAACTAGAACGGTGAGCAGAAGTGAGCAGAACGGTCGTACCTTGCTTTCAGCTCGTCAGTCGTGGTCCACCAGGACCAGCTGGCATTGCACGCAGTAGTCTACACGAGCATTCTGGCTACTTCCAAGTTGAACTTCGAATGAAGATTGGGAGAGAGTACAGCTCGGTCAGTCACCAAAAGATGCAGCGCATGTCGTCAAATGGAGGAGAGTTCTCTCGCTGCTGGCTAGATGGTTCGGCACATTCGCGAGGCCAGCGTGAGTCGTGAAAAGGTGTAAAACTTTTGAAATGAATTTCGCGATAAAAAGAACGCGCGAAAGAGAAGCCGCGCATGCGCACTACACGACGCGCACGCTGTCGTATACCCTACACTATTATGAACAATCCGCTCGATTACGAACGACTAGGTGGCTCGCTCCCGCTTGCCATAATATATTATATTGAAAAATCGGCCCGTTGTGACCAATTCTTTTCCCTTCCGTACCCGTTGTGACGACTAGGTTGGCTCGCTCCGACTCGCCAATTAGTGGCTAGGTTGGGAGGTTGGGGGAACAGTTAGGAAATAGAGAACAGTTGAGGAAAATAGAGGACAGTTTGGCAAAAGTTATATACAAACCGGTTAAAGTACCGTCTTTGGTCGTACTCTATGGAAATTATTGGGCTTGGAGAATGTTCTTAAGCTCAACCCAACATGTACTCCAGCCGCGCTGCTCGCTTATGCTACATGACCTTCTCAAACTTTCCCTTCACCCAATAATTTTTCCATAGTGCCGGTATTTTAACTTACTTATACCTAATACTAGGTGCTAATAGCTACTTCATACATGATTTTGGAGATACCCACGGCACCCAAGGTTAAAGCATCATGAAGTCTATGCTACACTCTCTAATAGCACAAAGGTGGACACTTGAAATTAGCTGGTAAGACACCTCCATGCTACAAATGGTGAAATAAGGCTGGAGTACATGTTTGGGTTGTCATTTCTAGGCACTATGTACCCTTACACATGCACATGAAGAGAAATGAAACATAAAGAACTGTACTTGATAATCGATAAAACGTGGCAATATGAAAGAATAGTAGTATGAGCTATAGTACCACACAGTTCTAATGAAACACACTGCTTTACGACTAAAATCCACTACGTTTTGCTAGACAAACTCAAGAAAAAGCGTGTTTTCATCAGCAGCTTCGGAGAGAACTGCAAAAATGGCATAATATAACATTCCATATGTAAGAAGCTGTTGAAATTACCGTCATCGCTTGCTCTTGACCAATTGCCGGAGGCTCATACAACGTACTGTTTGATATCTTCTTGTGAAGCAATCCCACATAGAATGACTCACCTGGATCCTATAGGATCCCACAGACCACATCACATACCATCCAATGCAAACCCATATCGTTGGCAAAATTGTCAGATTTTTACTAGTATATTCTACCAGCCTGAAAAGTCATATACAAGTTAGCGTAACTATAAGCTCTTTCCCAGGCCATCTATCTCCGTGGAATGGAAAAGTAACCACAAATAGACAGTTATGACCCCTTAGTCGTCGCCATAATAGGGGAGGATCAAGTGTAATGAATGCTACTATACCTAATAGTTACCTATAACCCTCACAATCCTCAGGAGGTGGTCATTGACAGTGCAGAAGATCCTGGTCAAGTGCAG